AATACACATCGCTACTTTATTATAAAGAGTTTGTTAAATCAGTAAAGAAACTGTAGTTGTAACAATATTAGAATATTCGTTCAATAACGATGGCAGGTGACAATGGAAATAAGAGTGATTCTGAATGGAATCATTAGCTACAACATTTCTGATTAACATGTTGCGTTTATAGGCCGCATTCGAGCAATTCGACAGCCAGAGAAATGGTTTATTCTCCCTGCAGTGTTTTATGTATTACTTATGTGAGATATCAACATTATGTACAGCAACTTCAAGGACGTTAGCAAAATGTACAAGCGTTAAAACAAAGTACCCGTAAGTAAATAATGATGACTCCCTGGATTTTTTCCGACCTTGGCAATGTCTGAGAAGCCCGTTTTATGAACACGAGGTTAGTTTGGAATTTCCCGGATATCCTCACAATTTCAAGTCGATATTATGTACCTTTCTCCCAAAACCGATGGTCATATCTCTCCTACTTTTGGGTATGCTCATTTGGCCATTGAGTTTCTGTACGTTGCCCATAAACATCTATGGGTGACAACTCACTAGACACTTCCCTCAAAGCATCTTTATGACATCATCAAGTTACGAGAGAATGTTCGAATCTCCAGACATGACGTTATGATAGAACAATTTGTATCGTGAAATAAACCAATCTTCGTTCTTCATTGTTCTTTGCGATTTATGGCGTAGCTATCTTACAACTATATATGCACACGGCACACCTACTGCCCTTTCGAATGCATTTGGTGTCTTGTCCTTTCCGTTTTCTAAAACATCAAAGGACGAATTTTGTTTGGATACGGTGACATGCATCAACCAAGCGAACCTGACCATCCGATCCCGTTTGTCGCCTCTTACGACAAGCATAGTCGCCTCTCACGGCAAGCATGGATTGCTGAAGACCTATTCCCTTCCCGGATCTTCACGGGTCTTAAAGTACGAGTTACTATACAGGATGATACTGGTCTATATATTCCAGATGGGTATGTACTTATAGGAGTCAGCCTACATGCATCTGAAAATACAACTGAAGCTTATCCTAAGTTTTGTTCAAATCATTCTCCCATTTACGTATGCACAGTAATGCACTAGTCGCATAAATTGCTTGTGAAATTGCTTGAGATGAATTTGAGTCTCGAGTCTGATTATCCCGAGCTCCACAAACAGCTGGTGTCGTCACTGTAACTCTACAATCATGTATGACAGATGGGTTTTTTTGCCATTTCAGTATCATATGACATAGGTTTCATTTTCATGAGATAGAAATAAGCAGAAATTGTATTAAATAAATTACATACTGTTTCGAGTATGGGTTACTGATTAAAATACTGTTCCTATGTAGAACTTCAAACCACACCCAGTTCGGTACGATTCTTGTCGGTTGAATATTAGGAAGTAGCAACAATGATATATGAATAGATAAATATACATGATGAAAAGTTATCTAGACACTGGCATATAAGTGACAATTAAAACCCAGAAATATTTTAGAATGTTGTTTGTTTGTTTGTTTGTTTGTTGTTTAACGCTGCACTCAGCAATATTCCAGCTATATGACGGCGATCTGTAAATAATCGAGTCTGGACCAGACAATCTAGTGATTAATATCATGAGCATCGATCCACGCAATTGGGATCGATGACATGCATCAACCAAGTCAGCAAGCCTGACTACCCCATGCCGTTAGTCGCCTTTTACGACAAGAATAGTCACCTTTTACGGCAAGCATGGGTTGCTGATATTTTAGAATGAATATTCAAATTACGTAATAACATATTAAACGGTTTAGTTGGACCAGCAGCTGTGAGAGTGGCTATAACAGCTGACTTTCGTGGACGGATCGGTTACAGAAATGCAAGTATGAATACTTCAAACGCATTAACGAGTTATCATTGGATATATTTTGTGTTCTAGTGTTTACACGAGTGGCATGAATAGAACATTCCCATAAATCAAAATGTTGCTATCAACAAGGTCGTTTAACACCAAGATGCATACATCTTTTTTTACGACTATGTTCGTAATGGTTTGCTATTTTCTTTCTTCATGGTGATATATGCTATAATCTCTGGTATTGCGTTCTATATGTATGAACATGTGAACATTATATCTTCAGATACATATTAACTGTATAATGATTCTTACAATGATGCATACACTGTTAACTTGTGTTTAGGTATAAAAACCCACGCGAGCTGTAAACCTGTTTTTGGATTGTGTGTAAGTTTCAAGCCAAACAAAGGTTGTGTGTGATTTAACTGAGTACATTAAAAAGAACCCGAATCGCATTGCATGCCCGCATCCCCTAAAACTAAACATTAGCCCAAACAAATATTCACGAAAAGATGGCAAAATGGTCAACAGTGGCATCACATATATACATACCTCTTTACGAGTTAACAGGCGGTAAGCCGTACAACTAGAAACGTAAATGACCGTTCGCCAATGAGGGAATGCGTTCCTTTTATTAGCATTATTGGTGTAGAGAGGTACAGAAGCTAATATTGGTAAAATTGTAGATTTATGTAGATGATCCACAAGAACGGATCATTTGAAACTGTGCATTTAGAGTGCTGAAGCCAAAATAAATCGAATTTGTGAATGTTGCCAAAGTTGGGATACGTTTTGAAAATCTGGTAACATGTTTCATCATGTTTTAACATTACTTGTCTTGGAACACAGATTCATCACCTGTATGCTCAATCCAACATCATCAAATATAAACCTATCACTGATATGTCCCATTATGCTGGAGGTACTCGAATTTCATGTAATGACCTCTTGCTGAATCGGAGGTTTTACTTCTTAAAAGTAAGACCCAGTAGCAGGTCTTACTTTTGAAAGTAAAACTTATTACCGGGTCTTACTTTTGAAAGTAAGACCTCTTATCGGGTCTTACTGTTTAAAGTAAAACCTTGCCCTGATTTCGAAACAAACCAAGTTTTTCAGTCAAAACCGGATTTACGACATTAGCAAATTTAGCCCACATGAACGCTTCAGTGTGATATTTTGTACAAAGTTACAGTATAGGTTGAAATCAGACTTTAGTGTTGGAAACATGTAGAGAAATTTAGTCAGAAAAATTTTGAGTAAGAATTCTCAAGTTTGTTTCGAGAAATCGGAGCCCGTTTCAGATACCTGATGTTCTTAATCCTTCAACAACAAAACATAAACCAATTTTTCAACAATTCTTTATTTCAGTTGAAATTAATAGTTAACGAATACTGCTTGTCTTTGCATTTTCCACAGTTAAGAGAAACTTTTGATTCTGGTTCAGAAGTTTGAGCAGTTGGTTCAGAATCAACTTTTCTCTTTCTGTCGGGGACAACGCACAACAGGTCGGAAACTGATGCCTTTTGGTCATCTGATCATGAAGACTTCTTGTACACCCGAACGGCTTCACTGTGGTGACCTGAAATTCAATTAAATAAAGTATTAAACTGAAGAACCAAATTCAATCTATTACAACAGATTCCAATCCTCCAAAGTGAGAATGCATTTAAATAGTAGTTATACATACATGCTGCATAAATACATTCTCCAAACTGTACAGTTCAGTATTTAGAGTGGTAATATAGACAGGCAATTTTAATATTATAGTTAATTAATAAACTTGCAATCGTTGAAAGTTTAGAATACTTGTTACTTTTACTCAGTGTTACAACATCGTAATGTGCAAATCAAGAGATGAGAAAATTACCAGTTTGTTCACAAATAAGTTGTTCCGAAACACCTGAACGGTAGAGGCGAGTTGCTGACGTAGCTCTTAGTGAGTGGTTTGTTTTCCGACCTCTTGACAGTAGTTTTCAGCGTGTTGTGGCCAATGGGAACCCTGGAAAACCATTCTCCTGGTTTCGGTTTCTTCAGTGCTGTGAAGTAGAATGCATTAGTTTCCTCGCCTGCTGCCTTACTGCAGTAAAAGAAATAAACATCTTGGAATATTTTCGAATTTCCATCGACAGTTACAACATGACTTGATATACAACATAAGTACTAGGATAACATATGGCTGCATTCATTCCTTTTTTCGACCGTCGCTGGTTAGTACATATATATAAACCATTTTACAAACGATTCATTGTTTACCATTTTTCAAAAGAAATAACATCTCTCCAGGTTCCTTGAAACGAAACAAAAAGTCATCGTCACTCTCTGCTTCATCACTCTTTTCAACGGTTTTGGACTGGGTTATGAACAGTTCTCTGTCACTGTCTGCCTCATCCATCGTGTCTCCGTCAAATGAATGTTCTAACAGGACACGTGATGCCGCGTAACGAAAATTCCGTGCAGCACGTGCGGCCGTGCGCGCTGTTTTAAAATTAGACCATGTTCCTCGATATACCAGCTGGGTACCACCCAGCGCGGTATAAACAATGCAGTGTTAGGACCGGCATCACTTGGATAAAGGATACTGTTTTATTTGATCATTAAAATGTAATCATTTCATTTGACGGTTCATATGTTAGATAAAGTACGAGGCCGAGGTCATGATTGGAAAAGTAAGGACATCAGTGCTCAGGTCGGTCTTACTTTTACACTTCCTTCGCACTGAGGTCCTTACTTTTCCAATCATGACCTCGGCCTCGTACTTTATCCTTCACATATGAACCAGCATGAATTGTTCCCGAGCTTGACTTGGAAATAGCTGAATAGATGCTTATAGCTGTAGGATGGGGCTGTGGTGTCTATCCTCTGAGGCTCATTTGCCGCCATGTGTAAAGTAGATGACGTAGGCAGCTGAGTATGACGATAAACTTGTACGAGTGAGTAAGTGAGTGAGTATGGTTTTACGCCGCGTTTAGCAATATTCCAGCAATATCACGGCGGTGGACACCAGAAATGGGCTCCACACATTGTACCCATGTCGGGAATCGAACCCGCATCTTCGGCGTGACGAGTAAACGCTTTAACCACGAAGCTACCCGACCGCCCCTAAACTGGTCAGATATCTGGTGGAATAATATTGCACATCTCTATTTCTTAATTGAACAGAGCCACTATGAAGTATGATGACATACTTAAAGACCTTGGGGAGTTTGGAACCTACCAGAAGAGGCTGTATGTCCTCCTCTGTATCCCGATGGTGTCCTTGGGAATACAGATCTTGATAACCGTCTTCACACTCGGCGTCCCAGATCACAGGTATATATGTTCAGTTGTGAGTGGAATTAATACCAAAGGATTTGTTTGCAATCCCAGTGTAATGATGTCAAATCATTTGATTTTTTAACTGTGTGCCACTTGTCCATTCCACACGACACTAGTCTTTAGGGAAATTGAATTCCTTGATCCACAGGGAATTTGTTATAAACGTCGAGACCATAATTTGTCAAAACTGAAAGCAAATGCCACCTGTGAAAACAATACGTGAAACGCTGGACTTCATCATTGATAACATCTTTGAGAAATTTGGGGATAAGACATTAAGGCAAGAACTAGGTATCCCCATGGGCACCAATTGTGCTCCCTTTCTTGTTGATCCATTTCAGTGTAGATCGCAATTTCTGTCACAACCAAACAGTGGAATTTGACCTCGAAAGTGTAACTTAATCCATTCCATTCAAAAGTGGCCAAATAGACAATTTCCTTCCATGAATTTAATTACCGGAACTAAAAAGAAAAGAGACCACTGAAACCGCCCAATCTCTTTCGAATATAGATATATGCATAATATTTGGAGCGACAAAAGCTTCTATCCAGATGACTATGTGACAACAGGGATGACTTCAACTTTCCAAAATAGGCATAGGCACTGATCATGATTTACACAAGAAATAAAAAAAGACCAGTGAGACCGCCTCGTCTGTTTCATACTTAATTTCATGTACAAATATTCAGAGCGACAAAAAAAAATCTCCACAAGATTTTATGACAAGCTTTTTTAAGACGGATGACTTCAACTTTCTAATAGTTTTTTTAATAGTAAACTGTCCCTTTATGTCGAGCAATATCCCTGCAGCCCCGGCCTTTGGGGTGAGTGAGTGAGTATGGTTTTAAGCCGCTTTTAGCACTATTCCAGCAATCTCACGGCGGGGGACACCAGAAATGGGCTTCACACATTGTACCAATCCGGCCTTTGGCGTCTGCATTTCGAAACTTTTAAGGTACAATCGTATGAAAGCCTAAGGGTGCACTTTGGTAACATATATATCGTTTTCAAATCGGAAGTTCACGTTATTTTCAGTTTTTGTTTTTTTCTCTCGAAATTCCGAGGATTTGTTCACGTTATGTCGATTATCTTCTCGTAGTTTCGATTATTTTCTTATAATTTCATGTCTTTTAAAAAACTCGAACTTTACGATTTTTTTCTGTATATTTCAATTATTTCCTCTATGCTTCGAGTTTTCGTTTCTCGATCGTTACTCGATTATTTTCTTGTTGCTTTGATTATTTTCTCGTTATTTTGATTATTTTCACATTATATAAAGTTTATTTCATAAACTCGAAATAACAAGAAAATAATCGAAATTACGAGAAAATAATCGAAGCAACGAGAAAATAATCGAAATTACGAGAAAACAATCGAAGTAACAGAAAAAACCCAACTCGAAGCAACGAGAAAATATTCGAAGCAACGAGAAAATATTCGAAATAACAAGAAAACAATCGAAATAATTGAGGAAATAATCGAGGCAACGAGAAATAAATCGAAATTTTGAGTTTTTTAGATAAACTTGAAATAACTGAGAAAATATTTGAAGTAACAAGAAAAAACTCGTTATTTCGAGAAAATAATTGAAATGACGAGAAAATTATCGAAGTAACGAGAAATAACGAGAAATGTCGAGAATATGCCCAAAGCCATGCGACGTAAACAAACCCGACAATCCAGTGACACGATAGTACAATTACTAATTTTGTTGAAACTAATAAAACGATGTTAATTTTGAATTAACTGTCTGCTATGGACAAGTGGCACCATTAGGTTTTCGTACAATCAAACATGCTCTCGCTCCGAAGACTGTAAACAACGTCATACGCATCGGGGGTGATTCAGATGAAGGATAACAGCAGATCACATTTATTCTCCATGGATCGCTCTGAGCACTTGTTTGTAAAAGGTGAAGGTATATGGATTGTGAGATTAAAATAGGGTTTTCAGAAGGCTTTGTTGGACCATACGAGTCTCTTGATTGTTAAACTTTCACACATCTGTTTTCAACTCTTTTCCTTATGTTTGTATGTTTACCTTGCTCAGCAATGACTTATTATCAGCAAATGAAGTTACATACGAGTGATGGAAGCTTGTTATGGAATGTTTACGTACGACCATGTAGGAATCAATGACAACTTGGAGACATGTATATTGACAGCAAAGCTTATGATAGTCAATTGGCTTATGATAGTCAATTGAGGTATTGGACCAATAACGGTATTATTTTGTAATATGTTGTATTTGTAGGTGTGCAGTACCTAGTTTAGATAACGACACCTACGCCATACAAGGGGAACAACATGCCCGTGCAGTCAACGCCGCTATACCCATAGCCAGTGAAGGAAGACAACTTTATTCGTCCTGTCTCGTATATAACGTCATCAATTCCACAAGGTCGGGTGGTGTACAATATACCAACGCTACCCACTTGTGCAATCGATGGGTGTATGACGAAGCAACGTTTGGCTCGAACATCGTGACAACGGTATGACATCCGGGTTTTCATTTGATTTAATGCATTATGGTATTTTTAGATAAGCATAATTTGCGATCCCAAAGACAATGAATACTTTCTGTGGAGCTCATGAGGTTGATAACTGGATTTAGTTAAATAAATGTGCGCAAGATTCATAACTTATGCCAAATTATTATACTGAAAACTCAGAAACAAATGCATATACGTAAGCTTAGAATGATATACGAGTGTGCATACGTATTTCGGCTAATGTGCCAATGTCACAGGGACACACATAGATGAGTACCATAAGACTTAAATGTGAATTTGTCTCTTCAAACATTTATGTTTGTTTTGCACACATCTGAATACATACATGTAGCTGAACAACAATCTAATTTATAATTTTATAAATTTGCATTTTCGTATCTTGGAGATACATATATGAACATATCCACAGCATTGTTGTTTAAGTTCCAGTCTGCAGGAAAACATATTACAATTGCATATGAGTCTATGTACCCATAAATGATCAATGTTTGACCATCATACATTTGCGACTGTCTGAACTTTCATTAATTCCCAATATGGCTCTTCAATTGTAAATTGTTCCTTTGACTATGATGCTATTTTTTAGTTTGACTGGGTGTGCGATCGGAAGTTGTACAAGTCCCACATACAGATGTTGTTTATGCTGGGGTCCCTAGTCTCCTGTGCCTTACTGGTGCCTCTCTCAGACGTGTAAGAATAACCTCAGCTCAAAATTTCTTTAATTCATCAAGAACTAACTTTTTTTTATCAGATTACTTAAACATTATACTTGACAAGAAAAAAACATCTCAATGTGAGCCATATGTCTCGTAATATTAGCAATTACTATCAATTATCCTGCAATGTATTTATTATGAAAATGTTTTGTATGGAGTCAAAATTGTCTCAGACTGTTTCAAATTACAAACACGAGGAACAGCCGATGAGATCTGATTACATGATGTAAGATGTGGTGACTGTTTGGTTTTGCAGCTAGGGCAATAGTTTTTCGAAGATTGAAAAACGCGATTGTAATACTGCTGCTGCAGTATTGCGATACAGTATGCGGAGTATTCATGTATGAGTTTGATGCTTGCGAAGAGGGTGTTTGTCGCAATAATGTGGACTTCATTACTTTGTTCAACATGATGTCAAGGCAAACAGGTTTTTGTGTAAAGTAACTTCTTTGAGAGGCATTTAACAAAGACCCCCAAGAACCCTACTGGACTACCTGAACTCACAAAACCGACGTATGGTTCACCATGGAGGACAACTCTAATCGTCAACTACCCTTCCCTGATGTACTTGTACAGAAAGATAATAACTACAAACTCCAGACCACTGTTTACCGCAAACCAACCCACACAGATCAGAATATTCACTATGCCTCCAACCATCAATTTCAATTCTTTATTTCAGTGTAAAGGCCATAGGCCCACGTACAAATACTCATTGAAAAATACAGTATGAGGCAGATGACAGAGGGTATTAAGTGACAGTATTTCGGATTGCAAGTGCTTCCAGTATATACTTAACACAATTAGTTACAATACTAGTGCGGTTACAAGATAATAGAGTATTATATTTAAATAAGGTAGGATTGGAAGAGTAATAAATAGGTAAATACTTATTTCTTAAATATCTGTAACATGGGCAGACAAGCATAAAATGAAACTCATCTTCAATTTCCTGTAAATTACAATATCTGCACTGCCTATTACAGTACTCTATACCGCATCTTCTACCTAAATTTACCATCAATGGCAACTCGCCAATTCTTAACAAACAAAACATACGTCTATAATGACGGCTTGTGATTTCACAGAGATACTTTTCAACTGTTAGCAATGACTTATATTCCTTATACATTGATAATTTACGTATTTCACAAACTTTACAATACCAGTCCTGTTGGTTACAGTCTTTTAACCTTTGAATAAATGCATTAATAAAGAGGTTCTCATTACCAACTTCCTGCGAAATCCACACGTGGCCAAATCCATAACTGAATAATAGTCTTTTGACACAAGTTACCCATGTAGTGCGATTAACTTCATCTAAAGATTTCAGCATTAAATAACATTGCTTAGGGTATCTATAACTGGGTAAAGATAACAATTTCAACCAATATTTAATACATCTCTTGTGATAATCAATAAATAAGCCATACCTACCACATTCGCCAAGGGCAGCAACATTTGTAACATGACTTCCAATTCCAATAGTAAATTTACAGAATTTAATCTGAAATTTTTCAATAGCTGCAATTTTTGAATAGCCCCATATTTCTGAAGTGTATAATAATACAGGCTTAATTTGAATGTCAAATATTTTAAAAAGTATATGTACGGGTATGTTCTTCAAACAATGCTGTAATTTCTTAACGACGAACAGAGCCTTATTTGCCTTCTGAACAAGAGAGTTGATACCAGTCGTCCAACACAGCCGATTTGAAAATAACAAACCTAGATAATTATAATAGGTAGATACTTTAACATTAACATCTCCAAACCTCCATTTCTCAGTACTCCTAAGTTTTCCACCATTTCTGAAAACTAAAATTTCAGTCTTACTATGGTTAACTTCTAAACCCCATTTAGTACAGAAAGATTTAAGGATATTAAGTTTTCGTTGGAGACCAACTACAGTATCATCAATTATGCCTAAATCATCGGCATATAGTAACAACAAAATGTCTAGAGATTCTTGACTCACAAATATTCCCCTCTCTCCGGAGGAGTGCAACATTGATTCTAATTCAACAATAAGCAAAGAGAACAATATAGGGCTAAGGGTGCAGCCTTGGCGTACACCACTTAGCGTTTCAAAGTAGCAAGTTGCTGTGCTATTTGATAACTTTACAGCCGATTTCACTTTTAAATACATATCTTTAATGACATAAAATAACTTTCCATGTATACCCTTATTTAACATGACATACCACAACAATTTTCTATTTACACAATCAAAGGCTTTTCTAAAATCAACAAATAAACAGTAAAATCTGCCATTAGCTTTAGATAAGTATTTCTGTATTAGACTTTGCAACACAAATATATTATCAACGGTGCTGTATCCAGCCCTAAAACCTGCCTGAGACTCTGGTATCTTATCGTAAATGTCACAAAACATAGTAAGCCGTTTATTAAGAATAAAAGTAAATATTTTACCCAATACATCACTAAGTGTAATACCCCTATAATTGTTAACATCAAATTTGCTGCCTTTCTTATGAAGGGGAGTAAGTAAACCTCGAGCCCAATCCTCAGGAAAATTACCACTATGCAAAATAGCGTTATATAATATAACTAGATAAGGAAGAAGATCACCCTTGCAACACTTTATCATTTCTGGTAGAACTCCATCGGGACCAGCCGCCTTACCATCTTTCAAATGATTAATAGCATGTAAAATTTCTGGTTCAGTGATTTCACAATTCAAAATATCATTTAATTCTTCATCATTACAGACAAAACAGTTAGATTCCTCGTGTTCATAAACAAAACTCTCAGCGGAAGCAAGATTATCATGATCAACATCATAATCAGTTATATTCAAAATATTTTTAAAGTAGGAGACCCATTCTGATGGAGCTATAAACTGAGTTGCATTACTGTTTTTTGATACAAGTCCCTTCACTTGGTTCCAGAAGATCTTAGGACTACAAGTATGAGACATTAAATCCTCAAGTAATCGCTCTTCAAAAATCAATTTCTTTTGTCTACACATATTTCGATACGCATTTCTTAACTGTCTAAACTGTTGTAAATAGTTCAGATCACCAGTTATTCTAAACATATTAAGAATACGATATTTCTCATGTTTCAACTCTTTACATTCGCTATCATGCCATCTTGCTCCTGAAAATGTACATATGTTTGAGCTTGTAATTACCTTCATATCACTGACAGAAGCACAAGTAATGATCAATGATGTCAATTTTGTTACTGCACAATTAACACCGCTAGAAATTTCACCCATGAAATCATCAAAGCTATATGATGATAGCGAGTCCCGAAGTAACTCAGAAAACGCTTCAGCCTTACCAGCACACCATCGGTATCTACAAATAGATTCTGCATTATCAGCATTCATGTTACTGATAACATTCTCTGAATCTGTAACAGCAAACTTAAACACAATGGGAAAATGATCTGACTCACATCTTGTGGCTACACTGAAATCATAATTAGTACTAAATAATTCAGATGAACATAAGCAATAATCAACCATGCTGGCACCCCCACCAGCAAAGCATGTAAAATCCCCGCGGGGATCTGATTTTGTTCTCCCATTCATCATATGTATATCAAGAGAACAGCATAAATCTACTAAATCACAACCATAGGAGTTTACACGATCATCTGTCCACTTTCTAGATATGCTAAAACTGTCAGTTTTATAATTCAAATCTTCCAGTGAAGGAATGTATTTGTTGCCATCCTGTAAAATATAATCCTTTAAGTTGCCTGTTCTAGCATTCATATCACCCATAATCACAAAAACAAAGTCTTCAATATCAGCATCTGTGATGCACGAGAGCAAACAGTTTTCTAAGTAGTCAATCCCTTTCTGCAGTCTTGGATCGCTCCGGACGGATGAATATACAGGGTGAATATACACACACCCATATAAAATATCGTATGTGTAACCAAAAAGTTTCTTATCCAAAAGCACGAAAATACAATCAGTAAAGTCAGACCAGATCTTCTTGATGTATTGACTTGCAAAATGGCTAACGCAAACGGCAACACCGCCTCTGTTATTAAAGTCCCGTTGGTTAATATAAACAGTATGGTTTGTAAATATAGAAGAAATGTCATCTTTATTTACATTGTTCCATATTTCAACAAATCCAATGACATCAAACTTCAGACAATACTGTATAAAATCAGAGTCAGCTAGTTTCTGTTTCAAACCATGAACATTCCATGTTACTATTTCAAACCAAGTACGCGCATCAATCTCTGGCGGCAACTGGTGGACCGGGCCATCTTCCTAGCTTAGGGCGGGCGAACTGATGACATCATCAGACGCACTCACTGCACGTGAAAGTCCTGGCTTGTGACCTGATTTGACAGTTGTGACACAGTCTAAACCCAGGTCATAGGAATAAATATTATCCTCAGTATACAGCTTATCATACCGCAAAAATGCCTTCAAACCTGATTCACGCGCCTGAAACATCTTCGGGAGAAGTTTCTTTCTCTTCTGTCGCACCAATGGGGAGAAGTCCTCAGTAATAAACATACCAGTGTCCTTCAAAGCTTTAGATGCCCTCAGAATAGCGTGTTTGTCCTTGTCGTCTGCTAGCTTAACAATAATAGCCTTCCCCTTCATAATGCGATGTGCCCTTTGAATGTTCACATCATCTAATAACTGCAGATCGTTCCTGAGGACATCTTTTACAATCAGTTCACAATCAGTCCATGACTCTGTTTCATTACCTCTCGGTACACCGTGAAATATCAGATTGTTACGCCTGCTCATATTCTCAAGGTAATCAAGTTTGTCATCCATTGCTTTCATCTGATCTTTCAAACGAAAATTTTCCTCTTCTAGGGCTTGACATCGGTTATTAGTCTCAGAAATCTGCTCTAAAACCACCTTCAGTGTACTCTCAACAGTCTGAAGTTTCAGATTCATATCATCATTAGAACGCTGAATTTTGTCTATCTTACATGACACTTCTCTCAGTTCATCCAACACAGTTTGTAAAGTTTTTTCACTTGCCTTTGAGGATAATGTAAGTTGCTTCTCTCCACCTTTACCTCCAGCAGTAGATCTAGTTTGTACGCCATCATTAGAATCCGGACCTGGGTTGGGTTCGACACCTCCCATCAGTAACAGCATGAGAATGAGGTTCAGCACAACCAAGCGGGTATGTATACCAACCAGCGCGTATAAACGAGGGATGCGTCCACGTCTGGCCTTATTTGCTTTTCTCGTCAATATCTTGATGATCACTGTAGCAAATCCTCCTACAGCCACCCGATATTGTTCCAGACACATTCCCATCGTTGTATTTCAGTAGTTTATATATCACTGACCTCAAATTCTCTTTGAAATACACTTTTACTTCAGACACATGAGTGAGTCGACTACCCAGTCCGCCATGTTGCCTGATTCCTCCAACCATCATCTTCATATCAAGAAAGGAATCATCTCAGCCCTAGTAAGACGAGGTCATTTTGTTCTACCAAGCAACACCTTACCATTGAACTAAGCCACCCAAAACAAGTTTGCACACAGTACAACCACTACCGCGAGCAAGCTAGTGCCACAGACATCACAGAGCAGCACCAAGAAAACCAAAAGATCTCGTCGTCAACAATCTCCACCCTTTGTGATAGGCCTCCCCTGCTTTGGAACCATAAGCCATAAAATCCAGAGACTCTTAAAGAAACAGGTCAACATTGATGTAGTTTTCAAGAGAAGTAACAGCAATCAGAACATAATTAAAGCCGCAGGAAAACCACCATCCATCCAAAAGCAAGACCAATCAGGACCAGTGTACCACATTCCGTGTAATTGTGGACAAGCTTGCACTGGCGAAACAGCAAGGCCAATCAAAACCCGAATTAAAGAACATCAAAGCTCAGTCTCCAAAGTCGACTCTAAGTTGGCTCTATCAGACAATATCCTTGACAACACAATCCTAAGCATCCAGTAGGACAAAATCCAAGCCCTCACCACCTCAAAGGCTTCAAAATCAGAAAACTACAAAAAGCAATCAACATCAAAAGACTGAGGCAGGGCGGGACAACTTCGACAAGGCCAGCAGTCCGAACTTGACCACACAGAAGGAAGCGAGCGTACCATCACTTCGTCGAAGGCCCCAATCAGTCCTAATCCTTTTCTTCGTACTACTGCCTTCACCTGTTTAGATGTTCACCTAATATCACCCCTTTTGTGTACATAACAGGCTTAACCATTCCAGTGTAACTACATCTCATTCTACTCAACTGTATAATCACTGACTCACACCTATAGATATGCTTGTCAACCATACTCTGTACATCCTTGCTTTTTAACGGTGACAGAATCTGCAACAAAAACGTCGCTCATAATCGCTTCATAAAGAAGATGTTCAACCTTTTATCTTATCCTTACTTAATTATGAACATGGTGTGTTTTGGATGAACAATGAATGTAACATAATATATAAAGCTACATGTACGTGTGGTCATGGTTTTTAAAGCAATTACTCAAGTCGTTGTTAAACCATTTAGGTGTGTGTTGAACAGCGAATCTGTCACACAATCTATCAGTTCAATTGCCATTTTCGAAAATTTGTGTCACACAAATCCTTTATACGTTAAACTGAATATTAGGTTGCATGAGTAGAGTATAAACGTGCGAGGGTTTGCACCTTTGTTAAATTACTTGTCGAATTCATATTGATTTCCAGAATAGGGAGGAAGAAGATATTTATGATTGGTGTAATCCTTCACTGCCTTGCATCAATCACCGTCTCATTCTCCCCGGGTTTTGGCGTCTTGGCTTCCCTTACCTTCCTTAACGGCATTGGAAGCGCAGCCATATGGATGAGCGGTTTTGTTGTTGGTAATGTTTTTCTCTATCATATACGCCTAGTGCATGAGTCGAGCCTCTTGGAGAATCCAGAATGGAATACTAGTATGTACTGATACCGTAGGCTTATACTTGGTCGGATAATGAGAACTGTGTGCTTGTAATCGGATCAGGACCAGCAAATCTAGTGGGTGATAACATGAACAGCGTCAGGTCACACAATACAAACATGCGATCTGTGAGGTATGCACATATGGATTTACATTACATATAAAATGTACATGATGAAAAACATTTAGAATAAAACGAATTTCAGTTGTATCACGGCACCTAAACCAGCTGTGCAGAGTTGCGCCCCTTTTGCGTGGCAGATACCTATGCTCGCTGGTTTTAATCCAAGATTCGCACTGCTTATGTTTCCAGGTTTATCAGCTCCGGGGTTTCACTTAAATGGTAAACGTCCAAGTCCTGCATCACGTTTAGGGGCTTTCCTCCTTCATCAAGCTGACACGTCATAACTAGAAATGCAGACATATGCCGATAACATGATAATTAAAACATGCTAGGATATAACAGGTGTGTGTTAATTATGGTATTTTTCATGTAAATTATGAACTTAGCAATGATAACGTTCCAGGTGTGGAGCTAGTTGGCCCGTCTAAGCGTCGATGGACCGGTATGATTCTTGAATTCTTCTGGTCCTCGGCGAACTTTGTCGTTGTTGCCGCCTACTTTATCCGCAAATGGCAACATCTACAACTGGTTCTGTCAACACCAACAATTCTCTTTCTAACGTACTACTGGTAAGCACAGAGTTTACGATACATTCTAACGTTTAAGTGAAGTTCAAGAAAGTGACATTGTTATGTGAATGAGTTGGGTTTAACACGGCTTAGTTAGCTACAGATTGCATGACAATACGCTTGGCTTTTAGGGGTGCAGGTGGCCCATTGGTCTAAGGAGCTGTAATTCGCTGTGCAGAGTTGCGTCCCCTAGACGTGATCGTAGGTTCGAATCCTGCTTCTCCCTGATTATGCAACTGGGTTTACCAGCACTACACCTGTGCTCGTTGATAGTAGTATTCTAAAGTGGTTAACTTCTAAGACCCACAACATTTCGGGAACTGCTTCCATATCAAGCTAATTAGCCTGATATGAATGACCTTAAGCCACATTTAATGATGGTTTTATACCTCGTACAGGTTTATGCCGGAATCTCCCCGCTGGTTGATCAGCAAGAAGAGATATGCAAAGGCGGATGCAGTGATACGCCATGCTGCGAAGGTCAACAAAGTAACCTTGCCGTCTGACCTGTCCCTTGGAAATATACTGGACAGCGATAGATCAGAACCTATGTGGACCATATTAACAAGCCCAACCCTTGTAGCAAGATGTACCATTGTCTTTCTAAATTGGTACGTTTGTTTATCACTCTTAATAATTATTCACGTGACCTGAGCTTTATGGTATAGCAATAATAAATGCAATTTGTGTCGATTTACATATTTTCCTGTCTGTAAAACCCCAAGCAAGTTAATGATAAGATTTCAATTCTGTCTGAGATTTTAAAGAAGTGTACGCATAAGTTTACATTTTTTAACGACCGTAAAGCATGTTTAATTTATTCGCTGCAAAATATTTTCACCCACTGATGGGCGGTGGTTGTCTTGAAACCTTGTTCAGCGTGTATGTCTATTCTGGTGCTAACGTTCGAACACAGCTATTTGTTGGTTTCATAAATATAAGCTGTTTACGCATGATAATTCTTTGTAGAAGTTACGTTACTGTCTGAAATATCGCAGACCCTTAAATCTTCGCTCACTCATTCAGCATGAAGCATACGTGTATATCTAAATGAGATGGCGTCGTGTTTTCAACAACACTAACCGTTAACTGACCAACTTGGGGCTAGCAAACGAAAATTGTTTCAGAATTGTGTGCATATTTTACGTTCTACGGATGAAATTTATCTCATACGTTGAATATCTGAACACGATTTTGGATTTGGTTAACTGTCAAATTGTTTTGCATAACACTTTACCGAATTGTTTGTGCAAGATTGAAGTGCTAGGTTTAATATTTCTGGTAATTGTTCAGGTTGGTATGTAGTCTGGGGTATTTCGGTCTCGGCCTCAATGTGGCAAGTCTCGGTGGCAGCGTCTACGCCAACAGCCTCATCGCAGGAGCAACAGAATTCGTCTCCATCATCGTCTGCATTCTCCTTCTGGACCGCATCGGCAGGAAGTCCCTACATTGTGCGGCCATGATCCTTGGTGGCATCTGCTGCACCGCCACAATCCTGCCTGTCTTGTATGGATCTGGAGGTAAGTAATTATGAGATGAATAAACTGCTTACTGTTTAACGTCTTTGCAACTATTCAAGATGGGATTTAGGAGCAACTTTATTTTCAGCCATGAATGAGAGAGTAGGTCTGTACGCCAATTAAGCAACATTCAAGCCATATCACAGCAAGGGACACTGGAAATGACCTTAATCCTTAGCCTGCTGAATTGTTTCAGCATAAGGTGCTGCAGTGAGGGTGGAATTTCAAACAGTCTGTGCTTCATTATACAAGGGACAATTGAAGAGATATTTTGCACATTCATTCTCGATAGAAAACGACACACAACTATATAGAAATATCCTGATGTTTTCAATCATACCAAGGTTAAGGCCAAAGCGAACATAAAAATGGTAAATTTTCTTAAACTTACCTAAATTACGTGATTGAAGGTGATATGCGTTTCATGTTAGGAACCTGTCTAAATCGTTACATTTGGGCTAATTGGTTTCAATAATTACATCTCCGATATCTTATTTTTAACTGAGTATAAATTCGATTTTTGTATCGGTAAATAACAGCGCGATGGTAAAGTATGAACTATTTCAGTAAATTTTCGAGGTCATCATGTCAGTTGCAGAAAAAAGAACATTCGAGTTACGTCATCTTACGTGTCATGTTATAATATTTGCAGAAAACAATAAATCCTAATTTCTAGTGCTTTTGATGAATGTTGACGTTGTACGAAAAATACAAATCCCGTGTCGTGATGCGAGCAGACGTACTCAAGTCAACCATGCCGCGCTTCGCCCGACCTCAACTTAACGTATTGGCATTTTAATATCCACAAAATATACATTGCCTTCACATATATCCGTTCTTCTTAATCGAAGAATGTTTCCTTTGTAATTTTCCGTTTAATATGACAAGAGAAAAACGAAATTTTTCAGTAAGTGCAAAGGTCACCAGTTATAATGTCACAGACAGGGATAGTCTACTAATAATCTTACATTACAAAACAATTACAGTATTTTTTTAATATTTGGCCTGCCACATACAGAATAAACACGTATCACTGCAATGTAGCCGAAATCACCACTAATAAGAAATTTCAATGTGTACAATCACCATTCGATGTTACGTTGAATGTAAAGGGATATGATTCAAAATGTGTTTCGAAATAACATTCGTGTGTTGCTGAATATAACATATACGCAACTGCGTGATTTATATATAAAAAATACGTTAGTGTCACATTAAATTTGGCATAGTTAAAGGGTTTTTGCTTTTAAAATACATTGATAGCTGGCATGAATTTAGTATAATTTCACGAAACATTTTAAAATTTATTCCATAAATATAAATACCGCCATGATTGCGTATTGATGATAGATTTGTTAATGTTTAGTTATTTACAGCTGTTCACATGTTTTTAACATTTTATTTATACAAGTTGTATTATATATTTCGTAGTTATTTTTTCCACAGAGATTATGTTTATGACACTAAATATTGGTCTACACATCAACACAAAGTGATCAATCATCAATTATTATCTTTCACCTGGAAATCAGTTAAGTGAATAAGTAACTATTTTATAATTATGTTATTATTAAATTTAGTATTTTATGAATAATAAATAAATAGATATAATCCTTAACATATGCATACAAACCTCATATGGAGATTATTCTTGTGTATTAAGTGGTTTGTTTCACAACAAAACATTTCTTAAACATAACTGTAATTGGTATATGATACATTAATTTCTTGTAACAGTACATGATATTTCTTTAGTTTAATCACAAGAACCAGGTTGGCTCTTAAACTGGTGAGGTAGCCATATATCTATAAGAGAATGTTATCTTTTGAAAAAGGAATAGGGCACATATATGTTTATTGATAATTTTGGCAGTTATGATCTTTTGGAGAAAAAGACAAGGAAATTATCATACCTTATGTATTTTTTCTGGGTTCTCACCAATGAAATAATGTGCACAGGTTTGTTGTAGTATGTTCATGTTTGTCCCTAATGGTAAATGAACCAGTGTAAACTGTGGTCAAGACGTTATCGTCTATCAGTCAATGTGATGTACACAAATTCAAAATAAATGCAGATCACACTGAATTCCCGCAAGCTTCCAGCGTTATTCCAGATTCAAGAACGGAGCATGTCCCTTTTCAAGACATTTCGACAGTGACAAAATTATGTACATTCGTGAGTGCACGAATATTACGTTGAGAAGGAACGTTTAGGTGTATTCAGCTTTGGCGTTGCTGATTGAAGAAACATTGGAAAGTTTTGAACTGATCCATGTGTTAGCCTTGAGCCAAACACTTCACAGAACACTGAACTACTTCAGAAAGAAATTCAAAGTATATTTCCTTTATGTACCGTGCCATGTACATGGCTAACACGATCTCCCAGGAGATTTCAAATGAGAATGGAGACCCCTTGCTGGTGCAGGCAACCTTGCTGGTACTTTCAAAGATCATTCTCTTCAGGATACCTCTTCTAGAAATCAAACTAGTACAGATCAATTTCAGTGCGCAGTGTGATGATCCTAAAACTGAAGTACTAGATGAGCATTTTCTACCAATGAGACTTCCAAGGCACCTGTTTGTTTCTACTACCCAGATGATGTTTTGATGAGAACATGGAAACCTCCATAAGCTTCTGCTGAAGATGAGTGTAAAGGTTTTTACCAAATTGTGAACAAGTGATGAGTTCGGTCCGCGAAACTACTATGGCTTGTCATTTGGGTCTTTTACCATTTTAGTTTATTTCATTCACTTCAGGCTTTTTGAAATATGATTAGGAATAACTGATTTGAAGCTGGGAAGGCCTTGGATACAAGCATTCCTTTCCAGTTATGGGGTCAGTTCAGGAGTCCCTTAGAGTTTAGCCTTTGGTCACATGGTCAGAAGACGACTTAACAATTTGAAAGAACAATGGCCTCATGATCAATTAGATTTGATTTTACTTGATGTTCTTTCCAAAGTAGACTTCTGACAGCTACTGAAGATTCCAGGGACAATTTTAAGTAATAGCAGGACGAAATTAAAGTCTGTTATGAAAACAATTCCAGTCCTGGCAATAGTGTGGTACCTGATCAACTTTGGAGTTTACCAGTTAGCATGTGCAGTTTGATGATGTTGAAGAGAAGGCTAGCTAGTCTTAAAATTCTGAGGTATCAAACAATCTTGATTTGAAGTAAGCTCTTCTTACTCCAGAACAAAAGTGACAGATGCCAGATTTAAATCACGTGTGTCCATTTGTTTCTAGAAGTATGTGGTCGTACCAACTTAGTTAGGCATGACAGATATATAGATTATGCACTGCCTATGAATAAATCATCCTAAGAGCATGAATCCTCACAAGCATGAGCTTGACCAAAAGGAAGTCAAGTTTATGATAGTGAATGACATAAAACCCAGTGAGAGCAAGTGGAGTTCATCATGCATCCTGGTACCCAAGCCCGACAACACCTTCCAGTGTTTTACCAACTTGAAACTGAATCGTTCCATACCAAGAATTGATGACTGTTTTGACAGAATAGGTCAAGATCCCACTAACTGAGCGTGCAAAGAATATTGATAAACTTTTCAGTACAAAGGTATGCCGTCTACCTTTCAGTGCCTCGTCAATGACATCACTCAAGGTCTACACGATGCAGTGTCTTACATTGACGACTTGATGTTCAATGGATTGGGGCGAACATTTGACTTTCACAGACATAATTGACTGTGAATTTGCTCAGGCACATGTGTCTTAGGTCATGTACAACCAATTAAAGCACAAGTAGAAGCTATTGCAAATTCCCCAGTTCCAACAAATATAAAGGAACTTAGGTATTGCAGGTTACTACAGAAAAAATAGCATTGCCGGGAAGACTATGCAAGAGAAAAAGCCATACGTATGAATTCTCCAGTCTTGAAACACCTCCTTTTGAGAATTTGTTGAAAGTGAAATGCCTACTGGCAGTGTCACAGAAAGAAACAGCATTGATCACCCTGATTGTTACTTTTGAAAGAAATTTGAAGGCTCCAGAAAATATATTCTACAATTGAGAAAGAAATCACAACTTTGCTTTTATCATTGCACCATTTTGAGGTGTATTTGGGAGGTGTCCACAAATCACATGAAGAAAAATAATGAGATTGATGACGTGAAGTGTGTCTTTACAAAAGTTTAATCTTTAAATTAAGCATATCAAGGATAGAAAGACATATGATTGCCGATGTTCTTTCTAGAGTAAGTTGATTGGATAAGTACACAAACGCAGCTGTGCTAATTATACAGGTGTTCGTCTTAGAGTGTGTTATGTAAACTGTATCTGTGAAGTGGTCCATTTTAAGGGTGTTCACTCTATTCAAACTTTTTTATCTTAAACAAAAGTGTCGAAAACTGTTTCCATACTCATAAGAAATCTTTATATCCAAATACACATGTTAGCTGAATACCGGTTGATTGTGAAGGGCTAAAGGAAGTGAGTCGTGACTGAACAAGAAACATTTTATACTTCTAAACTTATTTTTGTCGTCAGATCTCAACTGGATAACCATAATGCTGGCACTTGTGGGTCGAGCTTTCGTATCTGCAAGCTTCGCAGTTGTCACGCTGTACACTTCTGAGTTGTTTCCAACGGTCGTCAGGAACTCAGTGATGGCCGTTGCATCTATATGTTCGAGAATAGGAGGAGTCATATCACCCTATATCGCCAACTTGGTAACTAAACTTTGGTTTTCATTTTACAGTAATAATTGACTGCCTAGCCTCTTTTGTCATTTCTCAGAGGTTGTATCTATTCCCAGAAATTTAAACTATTTTGTTATGCTGTTAATATAACATGAGTGTGTGAATGCATATTAGAACAATATCACCTTTCAAATTCCAGAACATTTTGGGTGAAATGTAAAGAATTTGTTTATTGGGTCAACGGAAAGCAGCGGAATGTTAACATATGACACACGCCACCACAGTCGCGGATGTTGACATGATCATGATATGTCTAAAGTAAAATGTATAGGCCATCAGCAGTCGTTGTCGAGAGTGCTCAACCCGGGACTTAAGAACTCTTCGTGGACGCAATGGGATTGGTAGTCCACTCGGCGTGTTGTTGCAGTGCAAGCTGTTCCAGAGACTGCGACTGTGGTTGACTCCGTCTATCAAACTCAACACATGAATGTTCAATAGGGTCATTCTTGATTATCAAGAGTGTCAGGTTAGGACCTGAATGTTGTTCTTTTCTGGGTATGGCAGTTATGAATTGTGCATTATGTAATCTGGCGTTGGCGTTTTGCATAATTAGAGTGACCTATGGATGCCTTATTTCACTCGGTACCGATGTCAAGTCAGTTGCCATGAACGTGAACCAAGTTAGTCCTGCGATTTTGCGAGATATTTGTCCACCATGACAGTAACTCTACTGAATGTGTCGAGTTCCTGTATGCGCAAAACCTTCTCGCCGATGTCAATACACACGAAATATTCCATCTTCATGACGACAAAAAAGCGTAACGCGTCACTGAACCACACAGTTCCCAATTGCATGTGAAGCCATATTAAGTGTAGTCGACGATGTTGGCCCGTCAAAACAACACTTCGAAGCCGTCTTTCTTGAAGACATTCCCCACGTCTTGACCAATATCCTTGGCAAACCTGGTATTGGGGATGCTGAAGATATGTCTTGGTGGTCTTTTGCCGAAGGTGATGAACCCTCGAATAGCGGCCATCGGCTGTGGCGGTCACAGGTGATCTGCCAGATCTGGGAAAATCACGTGTTGTCCCTTGGTGTTGGTAACGATTCCATTGTCTGGTCATGTAGTTGTGGAAACATGAAACGCCCCGGCTACGGCCGACCATGATTCACACGTTTCCAAGCGACCAATAGAGTTGTTAGTTTCTGTTTCTGCATCGTGTGTTTGCTGTTGTGCAGCCCTCCGGATGAAGAGGTCAGGTAAAAGACCTGAAACAGTCTGTTAACCCAGAAATCTGAACGTAGAATAACTTCGTGTGAAATTAACAAAACAACCAACAAATGGAATACAAGCAAGCAATGTATACTGAACAACAAAAGTTCCTGTGACATTGAATAAGATTTAATGCAAAGTTTTTTACAAAATCTGAAACAATTTCGGTTTGCAACAGATAAAAGACTCCTGTAAGTGTTCAAATGGTTTAATTTGCCATACTGACTTCAGAAAATGCGTGATTTCATAAAAAAACAGAAACATGCCAAAATGTCAATTTACAAATCAATAGCGTGTGTGTCCACCTCTGGTTGCGATGGACGCAACACATCTTCGTCTCATGGAATTGACCAGGCGTCGCACAAAGTGTGGGATATCTGTCCATATCTGCTGGAGCATGTTTCGAAGTTCCAGGAGTGTCTGTGGAACACGTGGTTGATGTCGAAGGCGCCGATCCATCTCATCCCACATGTGCTCGATTGGTGAGAGATCAGGGGAGCGAGCCGGCCAGGGGATGACATTCACGTTGTTTTGTTGAAGAGTGTCCTGAACAAGTCGAGCAATATGAGGCCGGGCGTTGTCATGTTGAAAGGTAATGCCTGGGCAATGACGACGCAAAAACGGTAGAACAAGACGGCCGATGGTCTCGTCGCGGTAGCGCTGCCCATTGAGATTTCCCTCTACCACTACCAAACGGGTCCTTTGTCTTGCTGTAAGCCCACCCCATACCATAACGCTGCCGCCCCCGAACCGATCTTCCATGACACAATGATTGACGTAACGTTCACCTCGACGTCGGTACACTCGAATCCGTCCATCGCTGTGGCTGAGGTGAAAACGAGACTCGTCAGTGAATAGAACTTGTCCCCACTGCGTGGCCGTCCAACGTAGACGCTGTCTGCACCACTACAGACGTGCTTGACGGTGGTTTCCTGTCAAAATGTTACGTCTGGTGGGTCTTCTGGCGACAATCCGTGCACATCTGAGGCGACGGTTTGGGAAGACATTCGTCGAAGGCCAGGGATGCTTCTTGCAGTCACTGTTGCTGGCTGGAATCGATTACGTAGGTGTGTTGTTCGAATCCACTTGTCATGTCGATTATTGGTTACGCGTGGCCTGCCACTCCGAGGATTATGTCTGACTGCATTCGTCTGTTGCCAACGTTGCAATAAACACCAAATGGTGTTTCTTTGGACGTTAAATTGTGTTGCAACTGTTACATCACGTTGACTCGATCCTGCTTCAAGCATACCAATGGCTCGCAGACGTTCATTTTCGGACAGGCGTGGCATTTCGTAATGTTGAATAATTGCGTAATTTTGTTGTTTTTCTGAGTTGTTGTTGTCAGCACCAAGCTAAACAATGCATATGGAATCCCGTTAACGCATATGTTTTTATACCCATTCTTGGGTAGTGAAATGCATGGGGCTTGCATAAAAGTCAACTTTTGCATGGAATGCATGCTTTCTGTAGCAGTTGCGTTTTTGTGACTTGATTCCATTCGTGTACTACTATATTGAAAACCAAACTTTACTTGTTTGAAAAATACACTAAAATATTGGTGTCACAGGAACTTTTGTTGTTAAGTATATTGCAAATTTCACGAAATTTACAATTCAATACAAATTACTGCACATCAATTACAATGACAGTAAACAAAAGAGTGGTAGTACAATATTCAATGACAGTGTTGAATATGATGACAGTGGTCATTATCAAATACTAAAATACTGTGGTGATAGCAAAAATGAGTGATCGTAATATATTAACGCAGCGGCGACAGTGGTCAAGTTTCCGAGGTGGCCTTAGCTGGGAATCCGGGGTGATGAGTGATCCTCACACGAAAGCTGGTCTTGATGTAATAAATGTGTGAGAGATACGAGAGGCACGCCCTTATCCCCTTACATACAGTCTAACTAGATACTGATTTTTTCTACACAGTGCCCTCACAAGGTAGAATGTTCCACATGTTTCTATAACACACTATCACAGTCCACAGTGTTCCGGACGTTTACACGTGACACTAGCATCTAAATTATAGTAACTAATCACTGTCTAAGTACAATGAAACGTGCGTCTACTGAATCTCAACAGGAACAATGCAACACAGCTACATTCACTGTTCAACAATAACATACACTGCCACATATATAACAAAACCCTGTTCGTTTATAGGCTATGCCTCGACAAGAATTTAATTTCTGTGCACAGACACAGCAACCTCATTATTGGCAAATGTAGGGATAGATAAAAGATTGAGAGATTGCTGTCTCCGTGCACACTCCACCAGAAGCGAACCACTACGGAGACGGGTGACGTTCTTGACCTCACCGCAAATCCCGGAAACAGCCTTTGAAATAGCAAAAGGATTTAATTTGATGGGTAAATTATCAGCAGCCTCAATCACCAGGAATTTAGCCCAGGAATCAATATTTTGAGAAAGATTTCCATTTGAAATATCAATTTCCTCCAGACGTCTCCTTTTTCATTTTGAGATAAACCAGATTTTTGTTGAGCCATAATGAAAGAAAATGATTCAGCACCCCTATTCCCCACTCGCCATCGTGTGTCAACGAGGACAGTGTTACACTACTGCATAGAAGTTCATTCCCCTTACACGCATGGGCAACGCGTTACGCAACCCGTGTGCACCCCGTTGGTCACCCGTGTGAAACCCGTCCGCCACGCTTGTGATACCCGTGTGCAACGCGTTCATGTTGAGTCTCTGTTGAACTTCATTCCTTAGCAATCGGAAAAGTCTGGAGTAGGTACCTATCTGACGATCCGGCACTAAGGTATAGACAAGAGAGTATGCTGTAGAGCCGTCCACAAACCAGGGCAGGCGGTGAAAGTTCTATGGTTGTGTTCTGTAGAATTCCTAAGGGTATTACCAACTGTGGTCACTTCCCCTTTACAGGTGGTCTTCACACGCTTCCAGTGAATACAAGTTTGTCTCTCTACATTCTTGGTGTGATGATATCCATTAAACAAAACGTGTGTGCTTCCTTTCTGTAAAACAATAAACTCAACATTCTGGAGACCGGCCTAATGATATGCAGTCATTTTTTCACAACGCTTACATTCCACAGCTAACGTACGCTTAATACAATTGGTTGAAATTGGTTTATTTGAATACTTTAGGTACATTCATGTACAACCTTTACTCGGTATTAAACCAATTCCCGGAACAGTGTTTAAATAAGCAAACTGGCTTGTTCACCAATTTAGGTCTCTTTGGAAATATAATATGTTTAAACAAACCAGTCTTAAGTTAATTGATATAATCTTTTACTCAATTTCAGTCAATCTTTCCAAATGTTAATCCAGCTAGCTTATCTGTTCTTGGTTCATCCTTTACACTCATGAATAATTAGTCTTTGGGACTGTTCCATTATAAGTAGGTGAAATCCCTTTGTTGGTTTAGGGGTATTGGGCTGTAGGTTTTTTGGCATGTAGGGGCTTTTGGAGATAAGCGTTCATGTTGCACATGCAGATTGCGAAGATGCAAAGGTGACGTGGTTAGCTAGTAGATGCACTTTAGCGACAACTGATTTTGCGATTTGGCGACTGTAACAATGGTCATATGTTTGGACGACCAAAATATATATTTGTGATTCCTGAATCACTGTGTGTCTTAATATATAACTGATTTCATTCATTATGCGTTTCCATTTCCGTGGAGTACGGCTGGTAATATATGAATGATATGCTTAGTGGTCGCTCAGGTAATAATATAGCATTAATATTGTTGACTACAGCGTCAACTAAACGATTTAAAATTCTCACTGAGAATTGCCCAAAATTTGAAAAACCCAATGTACATATATGACGAACTGCTAATGCATTGACATTTCCAACCAAGGCACTCGTGATTCCTGGCGACTTTGGACGGGCTGTTCCACTGATTATATTCGGGGTTTCGATGGTTGGGGCTGGTGTGTTGGCCTTACTTCTACCGGAGACACTCAACAAAAATCTCCCAGAGTCCATAGATGACGCCAAGAAGATGGGGAGGTATCTCTCTCTCATACATTTTGATGTTTTATTTTGTTTTAATTATCATGGCCTGTCACATCATATTACTTATACAAATGATCATGACCCACGGCAGTGCACAATACTTTTCACTTTGCACAATATAAAAATGTCATTGTTTGAATTAACTAGTTTTTGTTTGTATGTTTGTTGTCAAACGCCGCACTCAGCAATATTCGAGCTGTATGACGACGGTCTAGGAGGGAAGTTGAAACCAATGTATCCGCAGATCATTTGAATGTGCCTGAGAGTTGAGAGAAGGAATTTGTTGAGTAATTGAAGATACTGATCATGACATTACAAGCTTTCTTTTAGGGTCAACCACAAGTTTGATGCATCCCATGTTGATGTTAACAACCATGGACATTACGAGGAAGGAATACATTTGAATGGCAAACAGAGAGGAAGAATGCAAATCATCATGGACAACATTTAGACAGACAGATTCAGCTCTCATATGTGGGTCAAGGGCACAATGGTATTTTGTTGTAGAAAAATTCGTCGCGGAGCACCATTTGTATATCGGACCTGAATAGATGTACACGTTTTGTTTAATTAATTTATCAATTTATCATCTTTCTTTCAAATGTCTTTTCATTAACTGTACACATTTTCTTAGTGTTGGATACGCATAATACTAGTCAGGCAGGGATTTAATTCTTATATCTACATATACTGGACATATACTCAACTGCAAAAGAATGTTTTTGTTTGTGAAATACACAAAATGGTAGTTTGTGAAAAGAAATGTATACACACGTAAAGAGACGCTCTGAGGAAACACTGTTCACTATTTCCATCATTCTTTTTGAGCACGTCCCAGGAACAAGTCGTTTCGTCTAGGCGCAGTGCAAACAAATCACATGCTAAAATGCGTGTCAATAATTTATATGCCACCATATTGACAGGTACCATGGTTCGATTAACTGAACTGAGGACGAGCGTTGTCCTGTTGAAATGTCAATCCCGGGCCATGACGTTGCAGGAAAGGAATGACCACAGGCCTCAGAATCTGATCTCTGTAGCCAACACCGGTGAGATTGCCGTGAACAACCACCAAAGGGGTTCGGTGCTGTGCTGTTATCCCACCCCAAATCATCACAGAGCCACATCCAAAACGATTCCTCACCACAATACAGTTGCGTGCATAACGTTCTCCCAAACGCCGGTAGACACGTTGGCGCCCGTCACTGTGGGAAATGTTGAACCTCGATTCATCTGTAAAGACAACATTTCTCCACCATATTCGAGGTTGGCGAACATGATTTCGACACCATCTTAGACGGTTGACTCGATGACGGTGTGTCAGGATGGGACGTATGGCAGGGCGTCGTGGTCGAATCCCGTACTGACGTAAACGATTCCTGACAGTGTTGGGATGCGGCGCAGTCCAGGATTTGTCTGGGACGTCGTTACTGCCGTTTGAAACCTGTGTCGGAGATGTGTAACTCGAATCCATCTGTCCTGTCTTGGCGTCGTTACTCAGGGACGTCCTGAACGTGGGTGGTCGGCAACGTCATTTGTGTTCTGATAACGCCTCACCAATGCCGATATCGTGTTACGATGGCATTGGAAATGTGTTGCCACCTGTTTTTGCCTCATTCCCGCTCGGATCATTCCAATGGCTTCATGACGCTGTGCAGCTGTCAATCTTGGCATGATTCGCTTGTGATATGCTTGTGTCTGCGCCTGAGAAGTTTTGAATTTTTGAATGACCACAGATCATGCTTTCCAAAGTGACAGCGAATTTTGAGTTGCACATGCTGTGTACAGCTGCACATGATGCACGTGCAGTAACATCAATGACGTCATATCGCATGGCACGTGCATGAGCGTTTGAATGTCTCCAATAATAAACCTATCTTTCATATATGAACGGTGTGCCCTTATATCTATATTTTCTCCGTGCACTGTTTCTTTATGTGGCTAGTATATATATTTTATGTACAACTTGCGTTTAAGTATATTAATAAAACATGGTATTCTTCTTCTTGGCTTTATTTGCAGTAAAGGTACATGTACATCGATGTAAAAAAATCATTATCTTTGAAATGTCTGTATAATTGTGTATTAAGGGTATCTGAACTTCTTTCAACATCAGCATTAACATATTGGCTGACATATCTTAAACAGAGATTTAATGTATACGTTACTAAGCTGAATACATTTCTTTATCTGGATGCCTTGAAAGTACTTCCAATACTTTTGTAAATACCCTTCGACATGAAATTCTTAAGCCAAGTTATTTGTAGTATGATACTACTTCAAGTCTTTCTTGGGCCAAAGAACCATTTCTCATGTTTAGATATCTTTCCACCTTTCTTGAAAATAACAACTTTAGTTTTGTTAGTATTTACAGAAACTCCCCACTTAGCAAAATATTTATATATAACATCAATCTTTTTCTGTAAATTTAGAACACTATCTGCAACAACATCCGCAAGCAGTAAAATCGATAAAGCCTTTCAACGTCGCCTAAAAAATAACACCACAATCGGTGTTCACGACAAGTTTATCAATGGACAACCTAAAAGGAGCAGTGATAGTGTACATCATTGAATCTTACACATTGAATATGTCAGTCATGTTATTTTTACTGCATCTCACAGCTGCCTTCACGTTTCCATATATACTCCTCAGTAGTGTACTTATCTTAAGATGTATACCTTTACCGAGCAACATTTAAAGAAGTTATTTCGATCCACAGTTTCAAATGCTTTTTTGAATTCCACAAAGATACAGTAAAATTGTCCACGCTTCGAACTGACCAGTGGGAATTATGTTTCAATGCGATTGAGGAAAACGTGAGTGAATATTGTGACACTAAAGCAACTTTTAACTGCATTGTCACTTTTGGTATGAAAATGGTAACAGTTCAGAAAAAACAACAGCCTTCTTATGATAATTCTCATTAGTACGTTGTATCTAATTACAGTGTCGGCCTTATTTACAGGTGATTCTACAATACCTGCTCTCGGTCAATTACGATCTACCACACCACGCGTGAATAAACAGTTATGCAGGTGTTGCTGTGGGCAAATACCTAGCCTGAAAATGTTTATTTTTTTCAGGATACATGTTTTACAAATGTTCGTTGATATGTGGATATATTAAGCACAAAGACAAAAAAATGTTTATGAAAGATGAATTAGTGCCTTGATATAACCATCGAAATGTGTATCATCGTTTAATGGGGTCATTCAATAAACGTATGTTTGGAGGAGATATCAAAGGAGCCGCCCAATATACACAGTGTCGTCCGGTGAACTACCACCCCACCCTGTCCATTAGAGTTATGTAATCGGTACACAAACATATTTGATGCGGCGTCAGTCTCAACCGACTGTAAATAGGGAAAATGGTGAAAACAAATTGAAATAGATTTTAATAAAACATTATTGTACTAAATAACTCGCAAAAGCGGTGCCTAAAATTGTTTGACCGTGTTATGTGTGTTGTAAACTGACGAATAGCAAGTAATTGTCATGCTAGCGCTGTACGCATGGTTCCATATACAAATTCAGTTATACAACCGGTATGAAACTGAGAACTGAGATACCAAGTACAACCTGCATTCACACACGGAAGCAATATACTTGTGTGTATGCCCTCTCCTCTAAAAAATGTATCACTAAAGTATTAACATTGTAATAAATATAGTAATGATAAAACTTGGTAATTTGGTAGGTCTCCGACAGATATGATTTTCAGTTTTTTTACACCTTTGATTGATACGGATTACGTACCTGTAGTCTAGTCACTGTCTCTAATGTATCTGCTTGTTAGAAATTTCAAATGTCTTGTTATAGCACTGTTCCTAAAATACGGCAGTTTCTTTTATCGGGTATAAATAGTTGATTCGTCTTGTCACGCAGTCATTTTTACTTGATCGAATGATTTCCACAAAAAATTACGGCAGAGAGTTTTGTATTTTATTATATTTTTAGAAGATTTTAGAAGATGCTTACACAGAACGTAAAACTGATAACATTCAAACATGTAATTAGTACACAGTTAATTGTTACATATAATTTCCTGCATATTCCTTTTTGAACAAAAAGCCTACATGTATACTGATATCGGTGTCCACTGTTAAAAGGGTATTAGTGCAGTCAGCCATGGTAAATGGATAGACAATAATAAGGTGATTAATTATAGTCTGTTGCAGAATATGCGGTATAAGTGTAGTCATTGATACATATACACATTACACATATACAGATGAAATACACGATATGATGCAGTGCAAGAACAAATTAGAACAGCCAACACGGCTGAGATACAGCATCGGCATACTCAACTGGAGTTGTTTTCTGCCGGTCGTAAGTTCATTGTTTGACTGAGCACACTCGTGTCGGGGTTGCGATATTTTCTTCACTTTGTTGGCAGCCTGCCACCGGTCTGAATTTTGAGAAAGGTCTCAGCATGGGACTGTTAATTACTTCTTAATGATGTCTACAAGCTTACAAACTTGTAGATGTTGGGTGCGGTTAGGACCAAACTTTTTCAGCTCAGAGTGTTAGTGGTCCTGGAACCCATAGTGTCAAACAGGTTCTGCACAATACGTCCATCAGATTCTACTGTTCAGCAACATTGTCACTGAATTTCAGAACTCTGGCATGATATAATAATCAAGGATTTCGAAGGTGAACGAGGGGAAAGGCAGACGCACGTGGATTTACCCTCAGGTTATTATTGTCTGGAGTTCACATTTTGGGGCATTTCATATACTAATTGAACAGAGTTCCCCTGCACATGTCCACTTTAGTGATACAGACTGTAACCAAAAATGCAATGAGCCGTAGCTCTTAATCCCTTATAACAACTGTAACAACAACCAGGGTGAGGACACAGTAAGGTTAAACCGTGTCCAACAGACAATCTGAGGTGGCTATCTCCCATCAAGTCAGCTCTGTTTTTAAGCGCATAGTTATGTTTTTACATATTGAAATAAAAGGAATTTAAAAAATTAAATTTAACAAACCTACAAATTACCAAATACAAAACTTTATAACCCTTTCTAGACTTCGTTCCAATTAACCTGGATCATTCAACTCGCTCGCGAAGGTCGTATGCGACTTTAAAGTGAATACGTCTACAGTGTACAAGTAACTTTTAACTGTATCATATATACTCATGATAAGCAATTATTTTCGTTCCTAATTCGAATGAGCACATTCTGAGGCTAAATCTGCAAAAGGACAGATAAAATATTTCTTTGTACAATGCAAACGATACAAATGTAGCGGCTGATAATAGAGACAATGATTTAATAATCTGCAATATATCAAGTGTTCTCGTTCAATCTATTGTACATATTGAAGTGATTGTAAAGTTTCAAGGAGTACTAAAATGTTGTGGTATTATGAATGTATTTAGAATATGAATAGCGAAAAACAGTCACCATATCGGATGTACATGTATAACTTGTCTTCCAAAACCACGCTGTGCCGAGGCCCATGGTCATAAAACTAACTGGTCCCATAAAAGGAGCAAATAGTTTCGCAGATACTTCTTGCTATGGTTCACTCCCAATTGTCAGACGACCTAATCATCGGTCAGACCAGTCAAGTGTGACCAGCGTACCTGCCTGGTTTTGGCTCCTAATTACTGAACTGCCCAATACTTTCATACTGTGGGCAGAGTAAGCGGCCTCGTTGAGTGATACAGACTAACCAGATTATGATTGTGTTTGTAAGTTGCGTTTAATCTGTGTCGGTTTGCAGTTGTTTTCGTAGTCAAGACTAGGGGTAGTTTTTTCAATGAAACCTTTTAGCCGTTGAGTTTGTTTTGCATTCATTTCATTAAATACATTGTTAGGTAGAATAATAACACGTTATATGGATTAAACATCTCCCTAATCTGAGTATAATCTCACATGTACTCTGAGTACCGTACTATATTACTTTGCGGAGACACTGAGTAAAATTTTTTAGTTGGCATTGTATGCTGTCTGATGACTTTACACAAATCCCTGCA